TGAAGTGGCCCCGACCCACGCCCCCTCCACCCCCCGCCTGGCTGCGGTCAGGGGCCTGTGGACCAGCCTCGTGCCCGTCCTGTGCCATCGGGACAGAGCCGGGCCCTGGTCCAGCAGTCCATGCCCCATCAGAGCGTAACTGCTCGCTGCCCATCTCGGCTGCCCCATCTCAGCCTCTCATGGGTGGTTGGCCCTCTTGCCTCCTCACCTGTCCCCACCCATGGCTCTGTCCAGTTGGATCTGTTTTATACACCGTGGCCACCAGGAAAGAGTTCCAGGCCCCAAGACACTTGTGGGTGAAGGGGACCCTATTCCTGGGACCCCAATCACACAGGCAAGCCACCCACCGCCCTGACCACCAAACGTGTCCCTGGCCACCCTCTTCCTTCCTGGGCCCCCTCACGGCCACTGGACGCCCGCAGAGCTGGTGGGGGGGCCCCTCCAGGCCTCCCGGCCTCACCTCCTCATTCCCAGCTGAGCTCGGCACCCACGGGGGATGGCCCTGCACTCAGTGGGGTCTTACACTGCTCCCCCAGCCAGGGGTGCACCCACGCTGCCTCCCCTGTGTGGCAAGGGGTTGGGGGGGTGCTGTGGAGTGAAGCCTTCTCGGCTCCCACCGGCTGCCCTGCTCTGCTGGCTGAGGGGCTGCTCAGGCGCGAGACAGGCCTGGAGGGCTCCCCAGGGGAGGGGACCCCACACCAGGGGGCCTGGATGCAGAGGAGGCTCCCGGACCCACTCACCCCAGCCCCTCCTTGTGTCTGTTTTCTCACGACCTGGACAGGCAGGCTGAGGTCATGCTGACCGCCACTGGACAGAGGCTCAGATGGGGCCATGAGGTGGGTGATGGGCCCAGGACCACCACTCACAGTTGGATGAGACCCTCAGGGCTCTCGGTCCTAACACGGCCAGTGTGTCCACCTGACCTTCTGCTCTCTCTGGATGTTAAGTGGGGAGATGGGGGCGGGGCGAACCGTGACCCCTGACCCCTGACCTGCAGAGCCTCGGCAGAGGCCCGGCTCCCCAGAGCGCTGTGGGATTAGAGATTTGGGCTCTCAGCCATCTGCATGTTGGGATTGCACGCAGCCAGCCCCTCCAGCAAACAAGGTCATTCACAGACAAAAATGTCGCGCCGCCCTGCCTGCCACCCAGCCCCCTTGCACTTGGGCTGGCGGCTCAGGGGAAGGCGAGGCAGGGCGCGGCCAGGGAAGTTCCCACCAACATCCCTGGCCCCAGGTCTGTGGGGACGGCCCCCACCAGACCCCTGCTGTGCCCTCGTCCACTGTCCCTGTGGGACCCCCTGCTCAGATCCTGCCCCCACCCCCTCCCTGGGGACTGCCCCCTACCCCAGCATAGGCCCCGGGCTCCTTCTGTGCAGGGGCCCTCCTCCGAGCCCGTGTGGCCCTGCCCTCCACCTGGCGCCTCCTCTCCCAGCACCACATGGCCCTTCTGGCCGCAAGACCTTCCTGCCCCACGGGCCCCTTTGGGGTCACCCTCCGGTCCAGGATGCCTCGTCTGAGCTCTGCTCCAGCCCTAACCCAGCCGAGGTGGCCCCTGCTGGCCCTGTGGCTCAGAGGAGGGAGGTGACGTCCCTGAGGCCACACTGCACAGTCGCTGCAGAGCCGGGTGTCAAACTAGCTTGAACCCGGGCTCCTGGCCGTCGGGAGCCCTGACTCGGGCAACACTTGAGAACTAAGCCACCAGCAACAAACGAAGCGCATAACTTTGAAAATGAAAACCAGCACCGTTGAGCGCCTCCCCAGGCTGTTTTTGGAGCTCTGAGGCCACTGGGTATCAGGCAGGGGCAGGAGGGCGCTGGTGTGGGGGCAGTACCGGGGCTAGGAGATTACCAGCCCCTCGCACGCCCCGGGACCCACACTCAAGGGTTTATAAAACCTCACACATCCAGGGCCTCGTTTGTGTCTGCAGCATGTCGAGGGCCTCCTGGGAGGAGAGGGGCTGGGTGCCTCCCTTCTGCCTAGTGCCACCCAGGTGCCTCCTGGAGTCTTTGCAGCCATCTGCTTGGGGCCTTGACCACTGGGGCCAGTCAGCTGCACAACCCCCTATGTAGCAGCAGATGGGCACTGGGGCCGGCCTGCACTGGGCGACGCTGCCCGCTCCCGGGCCCTGGCCATCTCAGCACCCTCCCTGGGTGATGGGTCTGACCGGGGGAGGGAATCCCCAGGACACCCACGAGCCTGGTCCTGGCCAGCAGATGGTGGCCAGAAAGGTGAGGGCAACAGCATGGGCTGCACCGGCGTGTGCCCAGCCCCAGGCTCTGGGCTCTGTGAGGCCAGATGGGAAACTGAGGCTCGGGGCCCAGTCGCTTCCTCAAAGCCAGACAGCACAGGGTGCTCTGTGGCCCACGCCAGCCCCCTCTTCCCAGAGGGGAAGGCGGGGGTAACCCCTGGGCTGGAGGCCCCAGCCAGGCACAGCTGGCCTGCTCTTTTCCCCGTGACTGGGGACGGGGCAGTAGCTGCCAGAGACCAAGAGACAGACTCAGAGAGAGAGAGAGATGGGGGGAGACGCTTGCGCAGAGGAGCTCCAAGGGACAGAGAATGGAGAGAGGGGCCAGGACTGGCAGGCTAAGGCCCCGCTGCACACCCTTGTCCCCCAGCCCGTCACTGGGCCAGGCACTGCCCTCAGGATGCCGACCCGGCCGGGCCCCGGCGAAGCCCTGATGCCCCACTGCTGGCACAGGCGGCCCCCGTGAGATAAGAGCCCACTGGGCCCCTCGGCCTCCCCGGCCGGGCGATAAGTGTGGCCTGCTCGGTGTCTGATAGGCGGCGGCCACCGCGGCGGTTGGCCGGCGGCCGCTTATCGCCCATCGCTGCCCAGCGCACAGAAATTCCTATCTGTGGGAGCCGATAGGGAGCTCCAGGCCCCCGAGGATGCAAATAGCGCAGGAAGCTCCCTGGGGCACCCCAGCCCCAAACCACAGCCCCTGCGGCCACCCCAGGCCAGCCCCAGCCTGGGGTCAGCTTCCCGTCACTCGGGGCCTCTGTTTCTCCATCCGTAAGATGGGGACAGGGATGTCAACGCTGCAGGGTGGATGGTGACCAGCTGGGATGATGACCGAAGTGTTTACAAACTCCCAGCCTGAGCTCTGGAGCAGGTGGCAGGTCCACCCCATCCTGCCACTTGCCAGCTGGTGGCCACTCTGTGCCTGGGTCTCCTCCGTAAAGGGCCTGGTGTGAGGACCACCCGGTGCTATCCTCCCACGGTCACTCTGCCCACTGGCTGCTGCCTCAGCCCCCCACCTGCCCAGTGGTGGTCAGGGTCCCACAGGCACAGGGGTCCTTGCCTGCACCCCTAGCACAGCAGGAAGCTTCTACTGGCAAAGCCTGGCCTGTGGGCCACGAGGCCTGGGGCGGCTCACCCGGTTTCTGTGGGTGCCTCGTTCTTGGCCCATGCCTGAGCTGGGGAAACTGAAGGAGCTGCAGGGCCCCTGCCCAGCCCCACGGCACTGTCCCCCGTGCGTGGAAGGGCCCAGCAGGTGGGTGGCTAGCTCAGTTGGGCCTGACTACGCTGGGAGGGCCTTGAAGACACATGGTCCTGCAGCCTGTCTGCCAGGTGCTCCTTGGCGGGGAGAGAGCATGATGTGGGAATGTTTCTGCCAGGGCACCTTGGCCCTCCGCCAGCCATCACTGGGTCCCCAAGGTGGCGTGTGGATTGGTCAAGGGACAGGAAGCGAAGTACACCTGAAGGGCAGCAGTGAGGAGCCCAGCTGCCTTACCCACGGTGCTCCACTCCCAGGCAGCATCACAGCCCATCTGAGCAGGGGAGGCTGGGAGTGGACTCAGTTTCCCCACGGTGTGGGGTCACCATCTTGGTTGTGACCACCAGGCCAACCCCTGCCTCTCTGGGCCTCAGACGCCCACCTATTGTGGAAACGGGCTGTGTTAAATCATCAGGGGACCCCCCCAAGGCACACGTGCCCCCTCCGTGCCTGTGGCAGACATCACCAGTCGATCACAGCACTCTTCTCTTAACACCTTGGGGTCCCACCCAGGGGCCCACACAGACACTTGAACTGAACCTGGTGAGACTGTCTCTGACATCCTTCTCATCTTGGCCCCTGGGGACCCCCAGAGGAGGGATGGAGGTCCCCGCTGCCCCTGCGAAGGCTTCCCTGACCCCGCAGCAAGGTGAGGCCCTCACTAGGTGCTCCCTCTCCACTGGCCACGAACCTCACTTGTGTTTGACCCCGCACACAACTCCCTGAGCTGTCTGTCTGGTACACACAGGTGCTCGCAAAGGCAGCTGGTCCACATCCCTGGCCCCAGGATGTGGCCTCCATCCCATCCATCCTTCACCCGCTAGCTCCCGAGCCACGGCCCTCGACGACGAGCCGCGCCTGCATTGAGATGCAGCCCTGAGCTCCCCGAGCCTCGTCCGTTATGGATCATAAATGATGGGTAACCGGCACACCCAGCCTGTCCGATGTCCACAAACAGGGAACTGGGGGGCCACAGGGACAACACTGGTGGGACCTCAAAGACACTCCCTGCGGGCCAGGACTCAGCACTTGGAGATCCTCCTGCCTCCCACGCAGCTGCAGCCACCCGAAGGGTGGAGGGGTCCTCTCCCACCCTACACAGGCCAAGCCACTCCCTGAGGCCCCTGCTGCCAGCTCTGAACCCCCAGCCTGGCTGGGGCGGCCCCAGGGCCCAGGCAGCTGCAGACGCACATGCCCTCACCACCTGCTCCTCTTTCCTGGCCAGACCAGACTCTGCCTCCCAGAATGCTCAGAGCCTGTCCGTCTGCTGCATGGGGCCTGCCTTTGGCTCTGAGCGTCGGCCTCCAGTGATGCCGCTGGCCCCATGGGCTGGCTGGACTTTGGAACAGGCCCAGGCCCAGTGGGTCACCACCAACCTCCCCAGCCAGCAGGCCAGGCCCACCCGACCAGAGCCATCAGGGCGGCCAGTTCCCATGACCCTGGGAAGGCTGGCCCAGGCCGCCCTGGAAAGGCAACACTGCCCGCCCGCTCGCAGCCGTGTTACCTGGCCCGCTCCAGGAGCTGCCGGCCTCCTCCTCCAGCCCCTCCATCTCCTGGGGGCCTCCTGGGGACGTGGGGGGTGGTGGCGGTGGGAGTGGCGGGGGGTTATCACCTGTAGAGAAAAAAACACCATGAGCCCTGTGGAGCTTCTGGCACTGCGTTATCTGCCCAGCCCACTCCGTGGTCAGGCAGGTGACTGAGGCCCAGTCAGGTGAGCAGTGCCTTGGATCCCCCACCCCCAGGCCTGCTCCCACTGCGGGGTCAGACGTCTCAATTTTCCCCTTGGTCTTTCAAACCCCTCACCCCCTCATTAATCACAGCAATAATAACTGCTATTCCAGCTGCTGTTAATAATTAGAGCGCAGGATGGCCTGCTGGGCACACCCAGGCCAGTGGGCACACGCGTGGGCCCCTGTTCACTGGTCTCCTCCAGCCAGCAGCTGGGGGCCCCTCCACTGGGCCCTGCACCCAATTCCAGCCCAAAGGGCATATTTGCCTTCCCTGCTGGTCCTGATAACCACCACTGCCCCCAATCGATGAGCTCCCATAAAAGCCCCCCCTTGGTGACGTCATGCACCCGGCAGATTATTAATACCCTCGATAAGGGCCGTGATTAACATCAAATAAATCAATCACACGGTATAAAAGTCCTATTATTTTTGGCTATAAATCAATGTGGCTGGCATTTGAGCTCCAGCCACTGCGCAGGAGCTGCGCTGGGCCTGCCCAAGAGGCAGACAGTGCTCCCGCCACGTTATCGCGCCCATCGCCACGTTATCACCATGGCCTGGGCCAGGTGCAACCCCGGCTGTTTTTTCCAGCTCCTTTCCTGGCCCTGCCCCCAGCCCTGCGCAGCCCCGGCTCCCAGATCAGATAAGGGGCCCGGCTCCCCGGGAAAGCCGCCCGGATCGAAGTCCACCAGCAATGAGCCACTTGCCCTTTGGCAGACTGCGGCCCCCCATTAGCGCAGCCCCTAACAGTAGTGGTGACAGCAATGGTGATGAGGCGCCCCTCACACTCCCTCGGCCTCAGCCACCAGGAGGGGCTCGAACCCAGTTACAGATGCGGAAACTGAGGCTGGGAGAGGGCCAGGAGCGTGGGCCCCGGGCAGGCTGGGGTGGGCAGTGGCCGCCCCACTGGGCAACATGAGACCAAGCCCATGGTGGCAGAGAGAGTAACAACAACAAATAGGGGCCGGCACCAGGGGCCAGGCCTGGGCCCTTCACCCCAGCCCGCTGTCCCCATGAGCTAGGGGCGATGGGAGCCCCGGCCCTGGGTTCAAGTCCCACTGGCCCTGCCTCCTTCTTGCCACATGGCCCTGGTGACCCCATGGGCCTGTCTCTGGGGACAGGGACATGGGTGCCAGCAGGTCTCAGAAAACGAGGCTTGTTGGGCTCCTGGGGCTGTGGCTGTCCAAGGGGGATGCTGACACTCTGAGACCGGGAAATGCTGGGGTGGGGGTCCACAGTGAGAAGGACCCTCTCTGGGGACCACGATCTGCCTGGGATCTGTGCACCCCTCAGGCCCCTGCCCTGCAGGGCTCTCCTCTGCCCACTCTCTGTCCTACCCCAGGGCCTTTGCATCTGCAGGCGCTGCTGCTGGCACACCCTTCCCTGTGCGCAGCACGGTGGCTCCTGCGTGTCCTTCGGGGTTCTGCTCAATGTCACCCTCCGCTCCATTTCTCCTCCTTGCCCAGTCACGCCTCCCACTCAGTGCCTTCCGACAGGCCCCGTTTGTGGTTGTGTCTCCCCCGTCAGACTGCGGCCTGGGGGTGACTCAGCCTCTGTGCATATGGCTTCGTGGCGCTCAGTGGGCTGGGGCCAAGACTGCTGCCCACAGCCAGCTGGGTGGAGCAGGCAGCAGCCGGGCCCACAGCAGGCAGGCGGGCAGAGCCAGCCCTTGTCCTCCCACCACAAATCCCAGCCTCAGTTGCCTCTTTCTCCTGGGGCTCAGCTGGCCGAAGAGGCTGCCCAAGCCTTGAGGCCCTGCGTGGACCTGGCCAGGACAGGCCGCCGGGTCCCAGGTTATTCACCCCAGGGGGGAGGGTCTCTCCTTCCACGTCCTGTTCTCAGCTCTAGAAACACACCCCACCCGGAACTGCCAGCAGGGGGGCCCAAGGAGAGGTTCCAGGTGCCCGGGTGGGGTGGGGAGCAGGCAGGGGGAACGGGAGGAATCAACTTGAATCCAGACCTGGGGTCGGATTCCAGCGTGGGTGCTAACAGGCTGTGTAATCCAGAGCAAGTCACTTAACTTCTCTGGGCCTCATTCCCTCATCTGTAAAATGGGGAAAAGTGCCTTAACAGGAGAACCCGCCACGTCCCGAGCAACACGTGTGCCGAGGCAGGCACCACAGCCAGGTAAGGCTTCACCGCCCCATCTGTAGAGGGTAAACGGAGGCTGGAGGGGTGTGGCTTTCCCCAGGTCACGCAGTGGCCCATGAGACTCCCTGTCTGACCCTGGGCTAGACCTTCGGCATCAGGCCTCAGTCTCCCCACCTGTCCCACAAAAGGCTGATTCCTGAGGCCCTCGGCGTCTCCCCTCCAGGCCCACTGCCGCCCAGGGTCTGCTGGACCCACTGGGCAAGGTCAGCCCCAGATGCCCCCGAGCTCAAGGCCCATCTCACAGGGGTGGAAACCGAGTCCCCAGAGGGACTGGCTCCTGGGACGTCTGAGGCGAGGACGCGGGAAGGGGCGGTGGGGGCTCAGGGTAGAGACGGCCCGCTGTGCGCCACGCCTGACTCACCTGCAGCGGGGGAGCTTGGGGGCTCCGGCTCTGTCGCAGCCGCCGGCTCAGAGGCTGTGGCCTCCTGCTCAGGGAGGCTGGTGTCCACGGCCTGGGCCTCTTCTCCGGCCTCCATGTCTCCGAGGGAACCTGTGGACACAGCCCGTGGGAAATTGTGAGGGGCTGGGGGGCGACGGCACCCCGCCTCCTGACCCCCCCGGCCCACCACGGGCATAGCTCTGGGGCCTGCGAGTCCCATGGGGTCAGAAGCCACGACGGGCGGCCATCAGCGTGGGCTTCCTCAGGGTCCCCCAAGACTTGACCCCACCCTGCAACCAAGCCAGTGCCTGGGTCAGCGGCTGCCCATCCCGCCCCATCTACCCTGCAGCCTCAGCTGGCCTCGCCAAGGGACGCAGGTTCTGGCCCTCCTAACCCCCACTCCAAGCCCTAGGAGCCATAGCGGGGCCTCCCCGGGCAGAAGCCCTTCCCCGCGCACAGGGCCACACTCCCAGGGGGCCCAGAACCACCGGTGCACCCACAGCCCCAGGGTCAGCATCTCTGGGCCTCTGCACGGCTGTCCCTCTGCCGGGACCCACCCTGCTCAGCTACGGGGCCTAGGAGATTCTTGAGGGTGGCCCCCTCGCCCAGCACACAGGAAACCCCAGAGACCCTGATTAAACAGTTGACGGAATGGTTGATGGGCACCTATGAGCCCACAGGCGTCTGCAGTCAAGCCCCTGGCCCCTATCCCCATCCCTCCCGGGCTGGGAGGCTGGAGCACACCTTACAGGTGAGAAGGCAAACTGGAGGGGCCTGACCCCAGACCCTCCAGGGGCGGCGAAGCTGCCTGAGTGCAGGTCAGGGTGGCAACCTCTCCCCCTGAGGACAGACGGATGGAGCCAGTGCCGCGGGCAGAGAGAATGGTGGGGAACAGGTGCCCCCTCCTCATCCGGCTCCCCACGTCCCCTGGCCCCGCTCTGCCTGTCTCAGCCTGGGCCCTGGGCTCAGAGACAGGTGCAGGGTGGGGCCGCCTCCTGCCCCAGTGACCGTCCCAGGTTCCTCCTCGGTGGCCACCTGCTCCACCCCCACCCAGCGGTCACCAGGGAGATGACGCCCCTTGCCCAGGTGAGGCATGGGGGAGGGTCCTGACTCGCAGACCCCAGCACAGCCCGACTCAGGAGTCGGGAAGAACTTCTGGCCCAGCCCGCCGAGCCTGTAGCAGCCAGGCCTCTTGCTATGGAGGAAAATGAGCAAGAAGAAAAGTCTGGAAGCCGTGGCCACAGCTGCAAATTCACACGTCTGAGATGACTGATGGAGCAGAATGGGGCCTGCTCTGGTGTCAGGAACAGAGGGCACCAGAAGGAAGGGCTGAGCCACACAGGATGGAATGGCCACCTCTCGAGGGCTGAGCTCCCCATCCCTGGAGGCAAGCAAGCAGTGCAGAAGGAGACTTGTCTGGGATGCACACCTCTGTGGCTGGTGGCTCCTGACCTTCTCTATGTCATGACCTCTTGGGGAATCTGATGAAATCCAGTGCCTTCTCTCCAGAAAAACACACAGAGAGACCACAATTTGCCCATCTCAGGGGCTTCCCAACAAATTATCAGTGTCCTCCTTCCTGGCACCCTCACTCTCCTCCTCTGCCTGGTTCCTCCGGGGGTGAAAGAAGGTGGGCGAGTGGCTGACGGGGAGGAGATGGGCAGATCCGAGGTGGGGCTGCTGAGGCCTTTGGTGCTTGCCCAGCGAGGGACACATGCACGACCAGCCAGTGTCCGACACGGGCCACAGCAGCTGGCTCGAGGCAGCAGGACAGGGAGACCATGGCGCTGTGACAGAATGAGCAATGTTGTGACAACTGTGCAGACTGACTCTCAAAATCCAGCAGTTCCCACGGGCAGGGAGGTGGGCAGCTGGTTTTCCGCTTGCTTGCGTCTCAGCCGATCTCTCTGGTCACAGGTTGGCGATGGCTGGCTGAAGTATGAAAACTGAGCTGTTGCTTCGGGCAGACGCCCCTCTGGCCTGTGCTCCATCTGAGGGCAGACTCTGCTCTAGGATGTGAGGTGCCCGGGACCTCTGGACTCTGCAGGGGACGTCCCGGCTGGCAGGGGAGACAGTGCAACCACAGATGAGGCCACAGGGAAACGACGGCAAATTACAGAAGTGTCATGGGGTGGGGGGCAAATGAGAGAGAAGACAGAAAAACAGGCAAGATGCCACCAGCAGATCTGAGGGGACAGCGTTGGTGCCAGACCCACGGCTGAGAAGAGAAGTCCAGGCAGAGGGAGCTGGAGACGGGCGGGGCTCCGCAGCACGGAGGAGGGAAGAGGGGGACCTGAGGATCCTGATCCTGGGGGCACTGGGGAGCCACAGAGGGTCCCAGGCAGGAGGCGCCAGGGCGAATTTCCCAGCTGCAGCCCTCTGATCCCAGCCTCCACAGGACACCTCAGAGCTGTCATTAGAGGAGGCGGGCAGGCACTCGCAGTCCTCGGCCAGCCGGGCTCAGACCACACAGAGCCAGCCCAGGCTGACTCATGGCCGGGGCCAGTGGGAGGCCCGGCCCGCCGTCCCTCCCGTGGCATGTGCTGGGGCAGGAAAGCAGAGGCTGTGGTGGAGGCCGGCATCTGACTCCCCGACCTGTGGGGTCGGGTCTGAGTGGGCACCGTGGTCACCATGGCCAGCAGGCTCAGCCCACCTGCCAGCCCCTTTCTAGAAGCCTGGTGCCCCCTGTGCTCATTTAGAGCTGGAAGAGGAGGCCCGGAGCTGGGACCCCACCTGCTGACCAGCCTGGACCTCAGGGCCCCAGGCGCCAGCCCTGGGGAGCGGCTGTGAAGCCACCTGTGCTTGGGGAGCGCAGGGACCAGAGCAGGGGCCAGGTGGACGCCGGGACACATAGCTGACACACCCTCCCTGCCTGCCCCACCTGGACAGATGGCAGCCCGACTCCCAGTGCCGCCCAGGTGGGCTCAGCCCTGGGCCGAGCTCTGTCGGAGCGTTCACTGCAAAACAAGGCCCGCGCTCTGCACACGGGCGAGGAGATGAGTGTGGAGAGAGGCTGCGGGCGGCTGGCAGAGTCTACCGCTGCTAATTCAGTTCCAGCGCAATTAAGACGCTCCGATAACTGCAGACAACCACCAACCGCGGGGTGCTCCTGGCACAGTGGGAGGGGGCGCGTGAACGCCCCCCATGCCACCTGGGCACCTGAGAGCGTGCCACCTCGCCCCTGCTTGAGCCCCTGTGACACTCCTGGGTCACACCGGGGCACCTGGGTCCCCGCTCCACCCCGGGCTCAGGGAGGAAGCCTTCCCTGCTGGCTGGGGCAGTGGGGAGACATCGCGGCTTCCCTGGGTGCCCTGGGCTGGGAAAGACCCCTGCCCGGCCCCTGTGGGACCCTCTCTGCTCAGAGACCCCAACAGCTGGGCCAGGCCAACCTACTACTGGGCAGGTGGGTCACTGCTGCGTGGCCCTGGGCAAGTCAATCCACCTCTCTGTGCTCGGAAACCACAATAGGTTGCACCTCGCATGCTCACCTGCATGGAGCTCAGCCCAGGGCCTGGCTGGGCACCAAACATCAGCTGTCACCATCATGTCACCATCACCCACTGCCCAGCAGGGCCTGGGAAGTGGGGTGGTGTGTGTGTGTGTCGGGGGGGGGGCATGCTCTATTATTAAGCATTGCCTGTATACAAGCCCTGTGCTGGCCTGCAGCGCAGAGGTGAAGGAGCGGCGGGGAAGGCATGCATGGGGGGCACTCCCAGGCAGCCTGACCGGGTGCATGGGGTGGTGGGAAAGGACAGCGGGGGGATGTGGGTGGAGAGGCAGGGTCCAATAGCGGTCACGACAGGCAAATCTCCTTCAAGCCCCTGACACCCCCCAGACATGAGCCTAAGTCACGCCCACCTCGCAGATGAGTAAACTGAGGTCCAGCAAGGTGAATGGACGTGTCCGCAGCCCTTGGCGAGGAGGCGGGGGGCGGGAACATCCCCCAGCATGCACCCTCCTGGACCCGGGCTCAGGCCGCAGCCCTGCCCTCGCCCCACAGACGGCCTGGGGTGACGCTGGTCCCATTGCTCATGGGCGAACACCCGCCTAGGGGCGTGCACAGGTGACCATGGTGGTCGCCATCGCCGGGGCGGCTCTGGGCATAGCCCTCGCTGCCCAAGCCCCTCGGTTATCGCGGTGCGCAGACGCCCCACGCGCCGCCCGCCTCCAGCTCATTAAGCCGGACGCCCGTGGAAATGAGAACATAATAGCTATTTGATGGGGCCGAGATATTTTGCATATTGGCTCGGCGCTGATAGCAGAATTTCATCAACTCCCTTTTTCATGCTTTAAAACTGAATTATGGAGACAAGCTCTGTGCAGCGGGGTGATCCCAGCTCCCTTCTGCGTCCCCAAGCCGCGGCAATGGTTGGCCCCCTCCTGGCTTTGATGGTGAGGCAGCTGGGGGGCCTTTCGAATGACGCCTTGAAGAAAGCTGGAGCTGGTGGCCGCGGGGGTGACAAGTCCCCCAGACCATGGCCCCCACGGAAACCCCCCAGTGGGGTGCAGATGCGGTGGCTCGGAGCACTGGATGGGGAGTCCGGAGGCCCTGGGCGAAGCCCTGCTGGCCCCTGCAGATTGAACCTTGTCAGATGGAGGCCACGTGCCACCCCCCAGGCCATCAGAAGCATTATGTGAAAGACCTAGGGCAAAGTCAGGCAAGCTGCCAGCCAGACCCAGGGCTCCACCAGCCGTGCGGGTCTTTTCCTGCGGCCGACCGTGCGCCTGCCCATCACATGGGTCACTTATGCTTCCCTGGAAGGTCCTTTTTATGCTCAGCTTACAGAGGACGAAGCAGAGGTGCAGGCACCTTCCCAGGCACCCCCTCCTGTGTCAGGGCCGGATTCTGACCACAGCCCGGCTGGCCGTTGGCGGGCCCTCCTTCCCTGGGAGGTGCACCCTGCAGTGGGCGGACCGGGGCTCCAATGGCCTCATCTCAGTCACTCTTCCTTCCTTCACTCACTCAGGGGTTCACCAGCTCAGCTCTTCATTCTCATCAAACCTTTTTTGGGTCCACCGAGCCCTGGACCCTGCACCAGGTGCTGGAGACCCTTCAGCAATCAAGACATAACCCCCAAGAAAGGAAAAGGCAAGGGCGGCTATTGCCACGA